ATATTATTATTAATCATAGTTAACTTTACCTTTAAAATATAATGTAAATTGAAATAAATTGAAAAGATAAAAAATTTGTTTTGTCTTAAAAAAAACAATGTAAAATTATTACATATATATATATATATATATATATATATATATATATATATATATATATATATATATACATATATAATATATATATATATATATATATATATATATATAATAATTTTACATTGTTTTTTTTTAAGACAAAAGAAATTTTTTATCTTTTCAATTTATTTCAATTTACATTATATTTTAAAGGTAAAGTTAACTATGATTAATAATAATATTATAGATACATATTTTTTACTTTGTATAACATTAGAAAGATGATTATATGATTTACTGATTGCTGTGATTATATGGGTAACATGTGCATTTTGATTAGTGGAATTTAGATTATTTTAAAACAGAATTTAGATTATTTAACTTTTTACAAAAAGGAATTTCTAATATTCAAAAAAGTTTGAATGAACTAAAAAGCAAAAAAAAAAAGAAGAAAAAAAATTGTTACAAAAATCGATCTTTTAATTATAAAAAACATATTTGTTTAAATACAAAAGTTGTCGTATGTAAAATTTTATGTAAAAATATATTAATTTTTTTTCAAATTAATATCAAAAAACATATGGAAACTCCTGGAAAAATTAAAGGTGTTTTATGTGAATTTCCAGAATTCTGGGAATTTCCAGAAAAAACTCATCTATGTATATTAGACACTTCATCATTTTTTTTTTAAATGTAAAATGAAAACAAAATAAACACCATAAGTTAGAGCTAAACATTAACAGTTAAAAAATAACAAACTTATTAGTCGAAAACTTATGCATTTTTTTAAACTCAAAATTTGAAATTTTTTTTTGTGTGACTTTAGAGGTTTTTAAGAATCGTATCAATGTTTTTTTACAAAAGTAACAATAAACAAGACAGTCATTATTCAAAACTAAGAATATGATACAAATAAAAACTATAGTAAATGAAATTTTAATGACTAGGAAACAACCCACCTTTGACTTTTGTAAATCTGTGACAGTACTTTTTTAAAAATATTTTTATTTAATGGTAATGTAAAAAGGGTTTTCCAAAACAATAAACTAATTTTAAAAAATAAATTTCTGTGTAGAAAATTGACGAGTTAAGTCTTGAAAATTGACAAGTCCAAAAAATTTTTTTTTAAAAAGTCAACTTTTTGGTGGAAGGCATATTTTTTGGCGTGATCAACACTTACTATTATTACTAATATAATGCTATAATTGATTTTGTTATTAAATCAAAAAAACACTAATTACTTTCAAAATTTGGGTTATAAATTGACCTTAATTTTTGAATCAAATTGTCTCTAAAAATAAAAATCTCAAAAAAATATTTTTGGTACTAAGCTGTGTTTCTATATTTTGCAATATACAAATAAAAAGTTATTGTATTTTAAGTCATCGGTTGAAAGGCAATGGTAGGAGTTTCATAGATGAAACTCCTACTATTGCCAATCCAGATCCTACTTTACATATGGGATATAATTGTACTGATATAAAACCAAGAAAAAGTTTATATAAACATTTTTCAAAATCAAACTTTTCAGTTTCGAAAGATCTTAGGACAAACAGTAATGAAATGAATAGTTATACAACTAAAGATAATATCGAGTTATGTAATATTAGCATAAAACCACAGTTATGTAATATCAGTGAGTATAATACTAATAATGGTAATTTATTTACCACCACCAAGCTGTGAACAATCATATACTAGACATTCATTGTCAAATATGTGCGAAAGATGTAATGTAAAAAGTTCTTTAATTAATTCTCTCATTAAAAAAATAAACTCCTTCAACATATCTTTGAAGCAAATAATTCAAAAACAAAGTTAATCAAATTAAGAAACTATCAGTTTTTTTATGTAATAAAGTAAAACAGACAAAAAAAGAACTTTTTTACAGGGATTTCTACAATAGCTTTATTTAATGCTATTTTCTCCTTTATTATACCTTTTTTTCTGAAGCTGAGATACTGGCCAGGACCCAAACATATTTAGATTTTTGGCCAGTTGAAACGCAAATTTAATTCACCTAAATATAGAAAACTTACACACTGTGATGAATTTTTTTTAACCTTAATGCAACTTCACCTAGGAATTCTTAATGAAGACATTGCAGAATGGAATTTCTTCTACTACAACCTCTCACATATTTACTACATGGATTAACATTTTAAGCAGTGTGCTAGGTAATCTCTTTTTGTATGGCTTCCATGTAAATCCATAATGGAAAATTGGCCTACAATATTTAAGAATGCAGGGTATCGCAATTGTTGTGTGATTATTGATTGTGCTAAAGTTTTTATTGAGCGACCAAAATTTCTTCTAGCACAGCCTCAACTTGGCCTGATTATATACAACATAATACTTTTAAGTTTCTTGTTGGAATTTCTCCCAGTGGTTTCATTACTTTTTTATCTGATTGTTATGGCAGAAGATGTTCTGATAATTTTAAAACAAAAGATAGTGGTTTTTATGACTTATTAGAGCGTGATGATGAAGTCAAGGCAGATCATGGATTTCAAATCCAGGAAGAACTTTTATTAAGGTTTTGCACTTTGATCGTTCCTCCAGGTGCTCGTCTTAAAAGTCAAATTGCATCTGAATGTAAAAAAACTAAAAAAATAGGTAACTTAAGAATACATGTGGAGAGAGTAATAAATGATTTTGTGAGGGTGTGTGCTATGTAACTTAAAACCTGTGTTGGTCAATAATGCAAGAAAACTTAAAACTTAAAATTATAGTTTATTTGTATTTTTCACAATATTTATTTTGAAAAGAATGGTCTTTGAGTTTTATATGAATCATTTTTTCCTCTGGCAGAGCCTGGGGCAAGAATCCCTTTCCCT